TACACTACACCAGCTGGTAACATTTGATGCCATTACTTGAAGTGAATTGGCCTTATTTAAAGTAACTAACCATAAATAAATACAAAAAGTAAAAAAAAGATCAAAAGTGAGAAATAATATACTGTATGTATGTTGTGTTGTCAAAGTTAGAGGAACAATTCAAACTGCAATTGTGTGTAAATGAGGCAGAAAGTCAGGTCAGCGCTGAACCTGGGACTTGGTCACAATTTTCGTGATGCCATATGGCAGCAGGGTCTACCATTAGACAACACATTATGCTTCCAATATCTTCCCAGGCGGTAGTATCTACCTGTTTGGTAGCTGCCTACTACCTACACAATTTTTAGTAATATTACTTTGATACATGATAAATTAGACAATGAAAATAAACATCAAGTTTAATTACCAAGACGCTTCCCATTGGCAGCTGTAAGAAGAGGGGGAGATGGGCTATTTTTATCCCATCTTTGTGTCTGAAGTGGCCAGTAATACCATATATTTACGGTATCTCCTATAAATAATTAATTTAAAATTTATTCTTTACATAGAATATTCAGTAAATGACTTTTAAATAAATAAACAAATAATTCGGTAAATCTATTTCAAGTAAATGGAAAATAAGCAAACAAATCTTATTTACCACCACCCCTTCCCTCTGGCTCAGAGTGAGATGGAGGGGAGATAAAGAAGGCTATTTATAGCCCGTCTTTGTGTCTGAAGTGACGAGTACTCTAATGCACCATAAATAATTCATTTAACATTTATTTTTTGTACATATATTTTTGTCATGGTTTTGGGTCGGTTCCGTGGTAGTAGGAGTGGATTATATTATATAAAGATAATAATATGTCGTATTTCTTATTTCTTACCGTAGAGTCCGATACCTTCACACTGATTACTTACAGGAGATTATGGCGTATCTACGTAGAAGTTCAATCCACCACTCGACATTCCATGATTTATACTTGATAAATGATGATTTAATGAATTCATTTAAATTTCAACATCCATCTAAGTTATTGGTTATACTATGTCATAACCAATCAGTCATTACCTTCAGTAATAATAAGATAGGATCACAGATACGGGCAGATAATTGCACTTACATTTATTTGTCAAGCTTCCATACAATGATTTACAATTTGCATTGATATATGGTTCACTCACGTTCACGCTGTGATAAAATTAATCTTCTAAAACAGGGAATTTCCAACTTGAGGACACATGTGATTACTCTACTGTGGTATGACTTAACAGAGCCTTAATTCTTCAAGTGATACATTTACTACCAGCCTGGATTGCTCTTGTTGCAACCAGGCTTCATCACAAGAACTTCTTTCCACGGCCATAACAACAAAAAGTACTCTTGGGTTACCACACATAGTCTCGCGTCACTGACAGTCACTGTGGACGGTTGTCGCGGCAAGGAGAACTGGTAAGCGTGACTTGAATTAACCATTAGGTGCAATAGACCAGCCTGGATTGCTTTTGTCGCAACCAGGCTTCCACACGTGATATTTCCACGGGGATAACAAACCTAGGTTAACACACTTAGTCTCGTGTCGATCACGGTCACGGTAGATGGGTGTCGTGCAGGAGAACTCTGTAAGCGTGAATTAATTAACCATTTACTGCAGGTTTGATAGGCCAGCCTGGATTGCTCTTGTCGCAACCAGGCATCCACACGTGATATTTCCACGGGGATAACAACCTAGGTTAACACGCTTAGTCTCATGTCGACGACGGTTCACAGGACGGAGTGGCGGTGTGGTGTGGTGTCCCGCCCCCTTTCAGGAGGGAGAGGATGGAGACGACGTCTTAACTAACCCATGGCTCAGGGGATACTACTCAAAATGAGGTTTTTGGGTGTGCAGCGATGAACAGTACAACACTGTTTCACTGCCCACCCCCCTAAAGGCTGGCTAACATACACTAATTGAAAAATACATGTCCCAGTTATGCCTCGCCGGGCGTCTTATATCTGGTAAAACAAACTTTGGAGTTGGTTGCGTGGGTAAGCCTAACGCAACCCATGACAATTTTGTTGTATGTATATATATATATATATATATATATATATATATATATATATATATATATATATATATATATATATATATATATATATATATATATATATATATATATATGTATGTATATATGTATGTATATGTATGTATATATGCATGTATGTATGTATGTATGTATGTATGTATGCTTAATGTATATGTATGTATATATGTAATATATATATATATATATGTAAGTGCAGTTTATTGAAAAAAGTTCTGCAGCCCGAAGGCTGAAAATATACATTGGACATAAATGACTTATTACATACATTGGTGGTTTAACAAAAGCCTTCATTAGAGAAAGGTAAAGGAACATACAGTGAACAATCAGATTAATGTAGGTGTTGAACAGCAAACACGTAGTGTAGTAACTCTCTCCCAGATGGTGTTAGGAGGGACCTGATGTGGTGTAGTAATTCCCTCACAGATGGTGTTATGAGGGGCCTCACGTGTAGTAATTCCCTCACAGATGGTGTTATGAGGGGCCTCACGTGGTGTAGTAGTTCCTTCATAGATGGTGTTACGAGGGGCCTCACGTGGTGTAGTAATTCCCTCACAGATGGTGTTATGAGGGGCCTGACGTGGTGTAGTAATTCCCTCACAGATGGTGGTATGAGGGGCCTGACGTGGTGTCTGATTCCCTCACAGATGGTGGCTATGAGGACCTGGCGTGGTGTATTAATTCGTCACAGATGATGGTGTTGTAAGGGACCTGGCGTGGTGTGTGTTCCTCACAGATGGTGTTATGAGGGCATCCCGTGGTGTGGTAATTCCCTCACAGATGGTGTTATAGAGGACCTCATAGTGTAGTAATTCCCCTCACAGATGGTGTTATGAGGAGACTTGGCGTGGTAGTAACTCCTCACAGATGGGTGTTATGAGGGCATCACGTGGTGTAGTAATTCCCTCACAGATGGTGTTATGAGGGACTTGATGTGGTGTAGTAATTCCCTCACAGATGGTGTTATATGAGTGAGGTGTGGCCCCAGGCCTTCCTATCGTAGACGGATTAACACATCGCCGGTTGTTGGGTCTCACGGGCCGTTATCACTGGGTACCTGGGACCTCACTGTGTGAAGGTTAACTTGAATACGACTTTTACTGTTGAGTTGTTCTCACTGACTCAAGCACTGTTCATCAATGTTCACCTCTGTTTAACACTGGTTCCATTCCTTTCCCAAATGAAATTGTAACTTCTGGCGAAAACCTGTTGATACTCCGGTGGGGAGAAGTGGTTCAGGGGAGGGGGTTGGTATGGGCCAACTTAACAGTTGACCTGGCTGCTCCGAGAGGAGCGCCAGGTACGTCTTGACCCTTCGGTGGTCAAGGATATAGTATGTATGTATGTATGTATGTATGTATGTATGTATGTATATATATATATATATATATATATATATATATATATATATATATATATATATATATATATATATATATATATATATATATATATATATATATATATATATATATATATATATATATAAGCAAGCTATAAATTAAAGAAAATACTTGCAGTGTGTTTAATATGTTACAGTATATTATAAATAAATAAATAAACAAATAAATCAGTAAATCCATTTCAAGTAAATGGAAAAATTTTACTCGACACAGACATTAGTTCCAGTTACCGGTAAATAGCAGACGCTTCAGTGACGTCACTAGTGTTTACACTACACCAGCGGGTAACATTTGATGACATTACTTGAAGTGAATTGGCCTTATTTTAAAAAACCAAGGATGGTTGGTAAAGGACTACTGAGTCAGTGGGTAAGTGTCACATTTGGGGTACTGGTCTTATACAGCGAATAGAGCTCAAAAGCTACTTTTTAAATGGAAATTTGGGGGGGCCGTCTTATGCACCCCGACGCCTTATAGGCCGAGATATACGGTACTGTATTGGCGGACTAGCCGATCAGCTGATGCACACAACAAAGTATCGAAGTTTTGTTCATTAATGGAACTGAAAATCCTTATGGGAGCTAATTCGTTAACCGAAATTTCGTTAATTGAACCATTTGTTAATCAAGGGACTACTGAATATATCTCAGGTAAAAATTAATGTCATCAGGAACTCATCTCCATGTCTGTATGAGCAGTGGTACCAAATTAATTTCTCTAACACAATTAGAACAGACACTGTGAATAAATGTTTATGCAGTTTTTTGCTAGCCGTAAATATTTTCGCTCATGCCAGTGGTGTAGATGTAATGGGAGAGTTTTTGTCCATGTGAGATGAGATGCATAGTTTAGACTCTCAGAAAACTTTCTCCAGCATGCAGAAACATTCTGGGGACGTGGGGCTAGTGTCTGTCTGTGGATGATGCATAGTTGAGACACTCGGAAATTTATTCCAGTTCTGTACACCGGAAAAAATTCTGGGTATAAGGATTTTTTCCAGATTTGAGATATTTGTCTCATTACTTGGAAATCTCTCAATCTAGAAGAACTCTGCATCAATTGTTCCAGCTAATTTGGATATCACTGTACAGTACTAAAGCTAAACTATAAAAAAATAATCCTCCAAGTTTAAATTTTTTGGAACTTTACATAAGATGATGTATTGACCAGGATGACTTGTCAGCTTCTCACAGTAAAATTTGATTTCCTTTACAATTTTTATATAATTACTTATGCCTCAACACATCTAGTCATGTTTTAAGTTTAAAAGCAGAGTAGTACGAGTCAAGGAATATATTTTCAGTTAACCCACTGTGGATGTGTTTGATTTTTATTCATGTGTCATTTAATTCTTTTTAATTCACTGACTCTTAAATGAAGCTTTAGCTTTTGTGTGTCATTTCAGTCTGTTGCAGTACCACTTACCTAATGTTGAGGATTCCTTTCAGATTGAGCACTTTTCGCTATATTGAATTAACCCAGTAACTGAAAAATTTTGTGCCAATCAATAAGGATTTTTTTCAGCCTGGAAATTTATCTACTCAAAGAGTCATCTCTGGAGCTGAGAAAAAGAGGACTAAACAAAGCAAGTCCAAAATACCAAGACGTGGAACCAACTCCTCCCCATCAAAACAAAACATTAATATGATAAAAGGTCATGTAACATCTGGGAACAAAAAGGGTGAAGAAGAGCCAATGACTGTGGCTTCAACATCAAGAACAAGGAACACAGGAGATACTCAGAGAGAAGTTGATACTGAAGAAGTTCCTCACCTTTGTGGAGTGAAGGAGGTCAGAGAAACTCTTTGAGATTTTCATGTTAATATTTAATATTTTATAGATTTATATACTGTACTGTAGTTTTGTTATCCAACAAACATTAAGAGGAAAAATTGTGATATAACTGAATACAAATTTATCCCATTTTTTTTTATTACCGTACTGTACCACAGTTGATGCGTTAAATGACAGCATTGAGTCAGAAGACTGCCAGAGGTAAGTTCTTTAGAGTAAAAGTTTTGAACTCCTGGAATTATTTACCAGCACATGTAATAGCATCACATGTGATCTTTATATCCATGCTTGATCAATACTGAAACATGTTCATATACACTCAAGAGCCTGTGCGTGTGCAAGCCATTATTTTCCAATAATGAAATGACAGACACCCTACATGCTAGTAAGCCAGCATTTGTTGAAGATGGTAAATAAGTTAGTACTTTATGTTGGAAATGTACCTTGAGCAGACTATTAAATCTTATTTTAGATAACACAGACCAACTCAATCTTATTAAATTTGCTGTGGTTTGGTTAGGTTATGATAACTTATTTTTAATGATGGTACTCAGATGTTAAGCTAATGTATTTCTTATTGAATATTTAATTCATGATACCAAGTGCAGGTTGGGAACTGATAACAAACAAACAGAAAATTTCCCCTAGTTATATTTGTTGATGATCCACCAAGGATATGTAGTACGGTACACTTTCTTGAAAGCTTGACGTACATCAGGGTCCTTCACTTTCAGATGTCTGAAGTTAAGTCATTGATCCGTGAGTGGGTGTTGTCATGTTCACATCCAGAGGTAGAAGATGGAGAAATCTTGGCACACTTCTACACAAGCCTCATTAGTCACCATGACCTTGAAAAGTTGGACCTCCTCATCAAGTATCTGTATAGGTAAGTGGAAAGGGAAGGAATAGTTTAAGGCATTTATCAATAGTGATATCCTCATTAGTCAGAACAATTGGTGCACAGTATTTCCAGGGATGAGAGATTTATGAGTTACCAGACGACTTTCTCAAACCCAGAAAAATTATTTATCCCGGAATCTTTTCCAGTTACTGGGAAAAGTTTCCTATTGTCTAAACTATGCATCTTGCACAGATAGACACTAGCCCACATCCCCAGATTATTTCTGGGTGCTAGGGAATGTTTTTAGAGAGTCTAAACTACCGGAGTCTGTCAAAGCAGTTTTAATTAAGTTAGAAAGTCAATTTCTTTTTCAAGAATAATCCAGAATAGTTTATCTAGAGGTTTGGTTAAATAAATATATTTAAAAACTAAAAATCTATATGATAAGGGCATGAATGAAGCTGTGTGTTAAAGCAATGACTGGTATTTTCCATTCCCATGGAGCTCTGGGGGATTTGTGGATCTCATGTAACTGACCTGACCTGATGCAATGTCAGGTGGAGGTAGGATGGGGGATTAGTGGTCTCATATTACTGACCCATTGTTGAGCAGGGGATTAGTCGATCTCATGACCTGATGATATCTTGAATAAAGACGAAAGCTAAAGTATTTTTGAAGGATTTTTCAGAAGATTATGATAAGTATAAATGAGCAATGCTGTATCCCTTCAACATTGTATTACATAACATTTTAAAATATGGATGATTAGAGAGATGGACTGTTAATGTGCATTGGTGCTGCCAAGCACTCCCCAACAGCTGATCTTTAACGCGCCACCATGCAGTCACACACACACACACACACACACACACACACACACACACACACACACACACACACACACACACACACACACACACACACACACACACACACACACACACACACACACACACACACACACACACACACACACACACACACACACACACACACACACACACACACACACACACACACACACACACACACACACACACACACACACACACACACACACACACACACACACACACACACACACACACACACACACACACACACACACACACACACACACACACACACACACACACACACACACACACACACACACACACACACACACACACACACACACACACACACACACACACACACACACACACACACACACACACACACACACACACACACACACACACACACACACACACACACACACACACACACACACACACACACACACACACACACACACACACACACACACACACACACACACACACACACACACACACACACACACACACACACACACACACACACACACACACACACACACACACACACACACACACACACACACACACACACACACACACACACACACACACACACACACACACACACACACACACACACACACACACACACACACACACACACACACACACACACACACACACACACACACACACACACACACACACACACACACACACACACACACACACACACACACACACACACACACACACACACACACACACACACACACACACACACACACACACACACACACACACACACACACACACACACACACACACACACACACACACACACACACACACACACACACACACACACACACACACACACACACACACACACACACACACACACACACACACACACACACACACACACACACACACACACACACACACACACACACACACACACACACACACACACACACACACACACACACACACACACACACACACACACACACACACACACACACACACACACACACACACACACACACACACACACACACACACACACACACACACACACACACACACACACACACACACACACACACACACACACACACACACACACACACACACACACACACACACACACACACACACACACACACACACACACACACACACACACACACACACACACACACACACACACACACACACACACACACACACACACACACACACACACACACACACACACACACACACACACACACACACACACACACACACACACACACACACACACACACACACACACACACACACACACACACACACACACACACACACACACACACACACACACACACCACCACACACCCACACACTCACTCACTCACTACCACCACCACTCACTCACTTTTCTTGTCGCATCCTCATTAAGATGACGGCCAAGGCACCAGCAGCCAGGTCAATCTGTTTGGCCCTGCCCACTCCCTGCTATACCCCAACGCCTACCAGCCTTACTACACCAGGATCGATTCAGCAAACATTCTAGTGATTAGTGAACGATTGATTACGGAGCAGTGTTCTCTATAGCACTTAAGGAACTTTCGGCAAAACATTCTAGCCATCAGTGCAATAAGTGATACTATACACAGTGCTCAAGTAGTGCAACTTCAAGGAAAGTCAATAGATAGTGGGTAATTTTATCGTCAACTTTAAAAGTGCGAGTGGACAAGGACTACCTTCATGTGTTTACATATATCGAAAACTGGTATCGGCGAATTCTAAAGCACTTCTGATTAGGACAAAGACCACGGTCTTACGACTGACAAATATTAACAGATGTCTAACAGTGTCAGGTCTCAAAGCTACCAGTGACAAACACTCATTTACAACAGATTTCAACCGATGGCCACCAATCACTTTCCTATCTCCGGGACGACTTCTCAGAAAATTATCTAAAGCGTGTAGAACGGAAGTTATTCCGGATGGCAGTGTTATCGCTGCTACTCGTCACTGAAAATATTCTTACTTCACAAGCCGACAAGGCTGTCAGCACATAAGCCCATTAGGAACCGTAGAACTCTCCACTAGGAAAACCGGAGAAACCCACCCTGACAGAGACTGCATCAATTACACTGAAGTTCCACGGATATGGTATGATCGATCTCCGCCTTTACTGTTGTCCAACGCCACTTCCTTGAAGGCTAACAAGTTCGACGAGCTAAGTAACCAGTCATTAAAATACCGCGAGTCAAGTAAGTATATATGTGAGGCTTAGTAAACAGCCTGAAACGTGTCATAATATTGAGGATATCAACTCTTTCATCACCTTCTCACAAAGATCAGCTGGAGGGGCGCCTGCCCTGTCAAGATGACCTGACGCCTGGCCACACGGATGTTCAAGTCCCAGCAGATGCTGGAAGACATAAGACGTGTCGTGGCTGCGGGCACAGTTCCAATGCTAAACACTGCTTCCATTATAATCTGTGTGGCATAACATCCGCCTTCGATCACCCACCAGAGACATACCGACAATCATTCCTATCACCACCTCAGACCACCCCAGAGTTAGGTACCCATGCCAAGTTAGTATTATGTGGGATTTAAATGAAATTGGAATCACTGAGGTCTAGGACCAGCTTATCACTATCACAAAGCGACCTTTTCCTACACACACGGTCAAAACACTCCTGACTTTATCTTAACTGGACTGAAGTGACCAGTACCAACCTCCCTCAACCACTGCCTCCCTATCGGTGTAGCACACTTATCAGTGCCTGGGTCCCCAGCTGCCACCCCACTCAAGTACAGAGACCCCACATCAAGACTTACAGGTCATTGACTTGCAGCGCTAAAAGTGGATAGTTCACTATCCCTGGACTGAAGTACTTAGCGTGGATGACTTAAAACCAAATGGATAAATTATACCAACACCACCAATGAAAGCTCACCACCACTTCTTCTGAAACCACAGATCTCACCCAGCTGACTTGCCCTGGATCACACCTCGATCAAAGACTAATGCAACAGAGAGACAGAGCCTTTCACTTCAATGACCATCCGCTACAGGTCACTTCGCAACAGAGTCATCCGCTAAAATACGCACTGCAAAGCAAAGTCCCACTACCCAAATCCAAATTATAACACCTGAAGCGGCATGATTTGCCGTAAAAGCAAAGCTTAAAGAACTTGTGGACTAAAACAATATGACACACCCTCCCCTTCCTTGTATCTCACTAATGTTGACGAGCTGGAGCAAACAACAACTATTTCGCCATTATATGCCAGACGCCTCCCACGTGCTTGACACAACCACTCTCCTGGGTTTACCTACCACAGCCCCCTTCCCAATCGACTTAGTAGAAGAATTTGACTTAGAGCAAAACGCCTGGACAAACCAAAATTAAAACGCCTACCACCCTAATATTGACTTACCAGAATGAAACTATTCAAGGAGAGTTCTCCCCGGAGCTTGCTAAACCCTGGTTCATCATCAATGCTTCCAAATAAGCCAGATGCCCAGCTGATCAAAGACTAAAAGCCCAAGCCAATCCAGCCACAACTTCAAATCAGCTATGACCTATTGCACACCCCAATACCCAGCCTAATCTGTAGAAAGTTTTGTGTTCGCTTATGCTGATATTGCAGGAGTCGAGACTTGCGCACTGGGCAGATGAAACTTCCTCCACCACCATCAGTTCCGTCAGTTTATATACCGCCATCTCGAGAAACGAAAAACGTCTGTAGCTGTCGCCTTCATTGATTTCACTAAAGCGTTCGACCTAGTCGACCACAATATAATCATAAACAAAGCTATTGACCTCGGGCTTCGGAGAAGTCTCATACCATGGCTTACAGACTTCCTCAGTGACCGACGCCAAGCTGTACGCTTCCGAGGGGCTGTCTCCACCTTTCAGTCACTCACCTGTGGCGTCCCCCAAGGCACCAAGATGGGACCACTCTGCTTCCTTATGCTCATCAATGATGCCCTAAGAGAGACCCCTGCTCGCTGGAAATATGTCGACGACTCCACCATTGGGATCAGCGTCAACAATTCTGCTCCCAACTATACCGCCCTTCAGGATTTATTGAACAGTCTCCAAAACTGGGCCACCAACAACCATGTCACCATCAACCATACCAAGACCATGGTTATGCACATCAACCTCTCCTCCGACATTGTCCCACCTCCTTCCATTACCCTAG